TTTTACAACAATGGATTAATTATTGGGATGGAGGATGAAAAGGCACCATAAGAACTTATTGTACACAAGTAATTATTATTTTTAAAGTTTTTATTTTATTAGTTTATTGCCAATTCCCTGCCTCTTAATCGCGCTTTCTCACTCTCATTATATACATTTTTGATTTCTCATTTATGATGTAATTTACAGTGTAATTTATGGTGTAATTTACGGAAAAAGAAAACAATGTGTTTCTAAAAGGAGATTTAGTGTTACTAGTGTAACAATACGTACGAACGTAATTTTTTTGATAATATACAATCCTACGAAATAATATCTTTCGCCTTTCCACAAAATTAATTACATTTCTCAGTCATTCAATCACACAAAGTGTAAAATGAATCAACAAAACAACGATACATTCGGACAACAACATTAAACACAAAAGTCGATTTATTCGATATAGTTAAGAAACCGACAACTTGAAGAAAGATATAATATAAGACGATAATTACTTTGTTATACTTTATAGATAGCATCTGTTTTGGTAAGAGATGAGTAATAGCGATAAAAAAAAACTGTTAAAAAACTAAGAAACCCACGAAAATTTGTACACAAGCATGATGATTTTCATAAACATGTGAGGGACATTTTCATAGTATGAGTTATGTAAAATGCCTGAATATAGGATAGTATAGATGTTATGATATGGTAAAATTTGTGACAATTTAGTTTATAAACGGGAATCATAAGGGAAATGAAGAGAAAGAGAATAAATTTTTGTTTAATTTTTAGATTTGATTGATTGATTGATAGAATTATGTAATCATATGAAGTACATTGGAAATTTTTTCGCAAGCGTTGAATGTACTGGTTGAAGTTTTCCTTCACTTACGTGGGTGCGTGCGTGTTTGGCGGACAAGTGCGCATAGTATACTGGAGAAGGAATAGAAACCGATCGCGTCGCACGTTGATAATTCTAACAGAGTTTGTAAGTGAACTCTTGAAGGGTATCGGGATCAAACTTATTTTTATCGTATAATACGATGCAATGTGCTGGTCGTGATGTCCCTTGAAGACTGGAGTAAGAATATAAAATAAAATCGAAGAGATACGGATGCGTGATCTTTTGATCAATGATCGTTCCAGGACGACAATTTCCATTTTTATCAGTGTTTCTTTCGTCCTCTGCGTTTGCACGAATATGATGTCTTTTACCAACGACGATATAAGTAACTGGAGGATCATAAGTTTTTTCATTTTTGGTTTTTTCATCTTTGTCTTTGAATTCTCTACAAGCCTCTTGAATAGCCTTCAATTCATAATCAAGAACCATTTTATATTGGCTCTCGGATACACCATCACGATACATGACGATTTTTTTTTTAGGTAAGTACAGATTAATTCGTTCATATTTTGTTAAGAGTTCTTTAACAATTTGTTTCATTTGAACAATTCTCTCTTCAGATACATTCTTCTTAACCCCCTTGGAGTCTTCTTTCGTCCTTTTTTGTCCGCGATGTTGATCAATATATTTACTGCCATGAATATCAACTGAAGCGACAACTGAACAAATTGATGGGCAATTATGGTCGTTTTCACTGGTCGGATGTGTAACGTCGGCACCCAAAAGCATGACAGGTTCTTTTATAAATTCAGAAATTTCAGTCTCATCGAGAATTGAATTGGTTCCGCCAAGCATCAAATTAATTTTCAAAGCAACGTTTGCGCAGTAGGAAGGACCTTTCTTGATCTTGTCAGCGACGATACATTGCGATAATAAACCCAGAGCCGTACTGGTCATAAATTTTATATCACGATAGAGGCTCTGATTCAATGGACGATCATAGACTTTATCTGGAAACATTTGCTTGTCTCTCTTGTTACTGCTCTTAGCTTCTGGAGGTAATAGAAACAAGATCATTTGCGGTTCACTACGAAGGAATTTTCTTAAATTATTGTATTCTCTTTGAATTGTTTTTTTGAAATCTCCATTTGGGTTTGCATAGATGATCTCCGGTTCACACATGACTATAGTCATTCCTTGACTACGGCAAGTATTAACCAACGTAACAATAAAGTTTTCGACATCCAGACACAGCATATGACAAGCCAGTATTTCAACGGAGTACCGCTTTTGATGAATTTTCGTCCACGAAGATTCCAAGATCCATCATCGTTCGGTATGAGTTTTGGACCCTCATTAGAAGACGGATGATAGGTAATAGTTGGTGAATTAAAAATTCGACCGGGAACCACTGCCATTTGAGTGTCGACTCCTACTTCGAAATCCTTAAGTTTTTGATCATTAGCGAAATTCAACATACGACTGACACCTTCTCTCAAGATGGTTTCCGTATTCTCTTCAGGAAGAGCTGTGGTGAAGGTTATGATCTTTGCGATTTGATCGCCATTAAGATTTTTCAGCGCAACACGTTGTCCCTGGACAATTTCACAGCATTCAAGTGGCCAAGCTTCTGGCTTTCTTTGCATTTCTACTACATGATGGTGTTTAAGCTCGATCTTATAATGTGTTTTGAAATATTCCTTTATATTTGTGGTTTCTCCCGTCTCCTTAAGCGTAAATGTATGATCTACTGCTTTCTTTGCCGAAATACGCTCAATTGATTGGCTATATTTGACCTTTGGTCGATGTAAAGGTCTGACTTTCAATTTTGCAAGGGCACTGTTGATTTTTCTTTGTTGAAAGTTGCAGGTAAAACACGAAGCTTAAGATAATCATGCAAGAATGTAACCAGGTCTTTTTTTTCGTAGAATACAGAGTGAGTAAGATTCATATTTACAAAGAGCGCATTTTGCCCAGGACGAACACTCTCGAAGAAACCTCCCCACAACTCCAAACCTCCACCTAACGATTTACATTTACGAGGATTCGGATCCAAAATCAAATCTTTGAATTGGACATATCTGGAGGAGGGGCTGGTATGTATCAAATCAAATCAAGCTTTCCATATTGAAGAAATTCCAACTAAAAGTTTCTCCTTGTAAGTAGGTATCGAGTTCGTTGAGATTAAGCGATTCTTGCAACAATGAAATTTTCACCAGAAACTCATTCTGCCTGCCACGCACATCATGGTCATCATTGAGCAACACCGAGCTCCTGAAGTCGTTGGATTTTATCTTGATGGATTTATCGGTCTATAATATGTTATCGCCATCGAAAAAGTACGAACCGTTTTGGAACAATTCTTCTCCCTTTTTCTTTTCCAACTCTCTAAACACTTTACGCTTGATTTCTGTTTTTGTTCTCGTGGGGTATGGAAGCTCCTTCAGTTGTTGTTGCTGTAAAAGGGTTTGTGATATCGACCACATATTTGACCCATATTGCCTTTTTTGGTAGTATTTCAATTCAAAGTAGTTGACGCGGTATACGGCCGCACGACCCTTGGTCCTGTAGCCAGGTCGTTTATAAGGTTCATAATGTTCAATCTCGGACATTTTTTTGGTAGTTATTTACTTGTGGGAGCTTAATGAGGTAGTTGCTTTAACAATTAATAATTACTCAGAGAACAGTACTTTAAGAAATATTTTTAACAAAAGTGTTGTCTATACAAAGCAATCTAACCGTAACCAACCGCCCTAACCGTCTTAAATGAGCCGCTATTGTGCACGATAACGATAAATAGAATAAATTTTCTAAAAAATTCCCTAGAAAAGGATCATACGTTTATACGGTAATTTTTTGACCACCCAAAAAGTAACGCCCGATTTAAAATGCAAGGACTGAAAAGTAAAAAATTTTTTTCTCACGCTTTATATATGAAAAAATTTTTCCACGCTTTACATGTGAAAATTGTCATCTATATTTTTATTACATAGTAATTATTTCTAAATTTTAAGAGTTATGCCACTTAAAATGAAAAGAACTCTATTATTTTTTTAAAATACAATTTAGCATTAAAGTGATATAAAAATTTAGATATATACATAGCTTGAAAATTTCCATTTTTTATACCGAACGTTACTTTTGGGGGTACTGAATCTGTCTGTTATCAAGTTATTTTATTTTGTTTGGTAGTATTGACGATAAAAACTTTGATCGCATGTTCCATTTCTTATGTGAGCTATCTGTTGCAAAACACTTTGAAGAAATGCACGATGCTACAGAAGAATGTTAAAGGCTATGCCAATAGCCAAATTGCAAGACTTGTATAAATAAAATTTCTTAATACGAATCATAAATTATGTCTTTGGTATTTGTCCTCTAACACAATATTCCAAATTATATTCAAACAAGTTTCATAGTAAAATGAGAAATGTGTTGTTTTTGGCGATAGAAAATTCCAAATATGTCTTTGCAACAGAATTATCACAAGTTGCAGTGAGCGAATTATACAATTGAAAATAAAATTTCTGATATTTAAATATTATTTTGAAACAGTTTTATAAGAAGTAAATTAATAATACGTATTTATTATCCACTTATAAATAGAAACACAATTGAAGAAATACCCCAAAACAAACCTCTAATGATATCATCCAACAATCTAAATAATAACAAAAATAAATCTATAAAGCGTCCCAAATAACAAATACAAATACTTAAGAATATCAATTCCCATAATAATAGTATGGATCGTACAGTTTGTGTTTGTTTCTCCAAAAATCTCAAGTTTGCCATAACACACGATGTGATTGCATTTGCCATCATTCCTAAGCCGAAAATATCTGTTGGTTGTATATTTATTTGAACATTCCATAGACTAAATTTTGTAGAAATTTGATTGTTGTTGCTATCTGGTGGCTTTGATTTTGTGTTGTTGGTATTGGAAATACGTGAAGTGGAAGATGATGCGGTTTCTTTGGAAGAAGATTCCAGTTTTTTTGTTTTGGATTTGGAAATCCTGAAAAATGTGAAAATTTTGAATGGATTCTTTTTATTTTTTAGCATTTTTATTTTTATTAAAATATCAATTACGTATGTATCGGTATTTGGTATGATTGTAAATACATGTACGAAACAAGGGGACAAAATTAATCCGCATTCTCATCATTAAAAACGTTCAAGATCAGCTCGGAATAGACGGAATTTAGTAATTGTGTCACCATTATCGTTATACAAAACAGGTTAATCATTTTTGTTCGATTTTCTTACTAACTCGTCATCATTTTCGAATTTTTCATTCCATCCTGTGAATCCGCCTTTCATGACCACAATTTTTTGTTCATTTTTCACGGCGCATTTTGATAACGCTTCGGTGTAGAGTCTAGCAGAGTTGGGGCCACGTCGTTGTGACAATCCACAATAAAAAACTACTTGTGGGACTATTATTTTAAACTTGAACTTTAATAAGAAATATTTTATTTACTTGGTAAATTTAATATCATATCTATAATTTAATTTCGCACCTTGGTTATACTCAGCAATGAGATCTTTAACTGATTCGGCAAGACTAGCGGACGGAAAGTTGACGGAATTAGGAACATGATGTTTCTGTTCAAGAAAGAATAAAATAAAATTGGTGCAATGCTTATCATTTTTAAATCTAAATATAAAAATTACCTCGTATTCTTCATCACGAACATCAACCAGCAAATAATCTTTGCCGGGTACTTTGGTCTTGTCTTTTACTAACTCGACTACTTGCTCTGGCTCAACAAATGTGAGGTCTGGATGATCCGAAGCCATATTCTCTCCAATCTTCTTTACAATAAAACAATAGTAAATATTTTATAATTCTGAAATATTATCACTATTGTAGTGTAGATGGTGGGTTACTTTTACGCTTATCGTTATCCTTTACGTATGTATAAATAATGATACGTAATGATGATTACGTAATCGTAATAAACACAAGTCATTTCATCAATAAATATTGTGAAACTTCAACTTTATTAATATTGCACAAATGGTAAAATAAGTTTGTGATTGTGAAAACAAGAATTGTTAATTCTTGTGATAAATGTATATAGTGGACTAAATTTTATTTTACGCAGGAAATGCTGTGTCAAATTTTTTTAGCATTATCATTATCAATAACGATAACGATAGCACGCTTTATGCGAACTTATTTATAAAATTCCGGATTCAAGTCTAATTATTCCACTACCAGAAAAACTGGCCTTGAAATCTGTGCTAAGATTATCTTCATCCGACGGAACTGCTAATGAAAAATGTACCGGTACTACAAAAGCTGGTAGTTCAGTTTAACATGAAATATCAAAAAAAAACTATTCTCCGGGAATAAGCCCCACCCTATTTAATCAAAAGTAGTAAAATAATGAATAAGCGCTGCTATATTTAAATATCTAAAATGTCTTAAATGGCAATAATTTTGAATTGAAATGATATGTTAAATGTAGTAAATATTATTATCTAAAATTCAGTCAAATTGATTATGAAAAAATGTGAATGCTCAATCATATTAAAAAATTGAATAACTCTTCACTTCAATAGCAATCCAACAAAAAATGAAATTGTCATCAATTTGGAAAATATGCAAACAATTACAATAACTTTACAAAATTTAAAATATATATTTTTTAGAATATAAGTTTTTAAGTCAAGTAACAAGATCAATAATATGCAAGTAATTCATGAGATGAGTATAACATATATAAATAATAATTCAATATATATTAAATTATTTTAAAAATATAAAGACAAGAAAAATTAACAAAAGTAAAATAATTAGCACTTTGATCTATTCTTTATTATAAGCAAAATTTAAAAATTATTTGATTTTTATATTAGATTATATTTATTTAAATATATATTAAAGTAATATAGATCTATAAGCTTTGTAGTAATACAAAAAACTAGTAAAATTACTAATAATCAAAATCAAAAACTAATAAAATTAAAATAATTAATAATTAATAAAATTAATGTAATAAAATAATAAAGTAATTAATAATTAATAATTAATAATATTATTATATATAAATAAAAATAAACAAATAAGTATCTATAAATAGAAATTAATAAATATCGCTTGGAATTTAATATTATATGAACAAAAAAATAATAAATAATATAGCAAAGAATTTTATTTGCAAAATAATATATAATATTATATATTTTTTACTAATTATAAAATTAGCTAATTAATAAGAATATGAATTAAAAAAAGAATTAAACAAAAAATAGAATAATAAAAGAAATATATATATCGATTTTTATTATATAATTTAAAAATAAATAAAATGAAAAAAAATAAAGTTTTAGTTCTAAATGAATTTTGTTTTAATTCTTTATATTAATATTATATATTTCAAAACTAATAAATAATATTATACTTTATTTTTCTTACAAATATCTTTAAATGAGAAATTCTAAATAATTCAATTATTAAAAACTAATTAATAACAAAAATATTAATTTAATAATTTAATAATATTTTAATATAATTCAAAATTACTTGTATATAAGCTTTAAAATATATAATTGAGAGAAAAAAACAAAATATTTATTTATTATATTATTCATTTTTAAGTTTCAATATATCAAATTAAAGTTCAATTACAACTTGTATTTATATATTTTTAATGAATATTAATATTAAAATAAATATATTAATCAAAAATAAAATTTTAATTTATTAAAATAAATAAATATATATTATAAAAATTTATAATTAGTTAAAATATATTTATCAAAATAAATAAATAGAAAAATAAAAAAGTAAATAAATATTTTTATATATAATAATTAATAATTAAAGAAATATTCTAAATTCTTTATATAATTTTTATAATTTTATAATTTGTAATAAATTATAAAATTAATTATTTTACTATCTTAAATTATTATTATAATAATCAAAAATTTTAAATATATCTATTTTGATATATCTTTAAATAATTATTAGTATATGAATTTTTAAGAATATTTTTATTTATAATTTTTAATTTATAATTATATTTATTATAAATATAATAAGAATTTTTTTATTTTTTATTAAATTATACTAAGTTTTTATTTAATAAAGTAAGTTTGTTATTAATTTAAAATTATTGAATATTTTTATTTTTATTATAATATTTTTTTGCTTTTGTTATTGCTTTTCAATATTTGAACTATATTTTTAATTAATTATTTTATATATTTATTTATAATTATTATATTTTATTTAATTAATTATTATATTTTATTTAATTAATTATTATTAATTTGCATTTTTAAATTAAAAGAAATTAATACAAATCTTTTATAAGTTAAATAAAATAATAATACAAGTTTGTTTATTAATTATTAAATTAGTTTACAAACTTGAACTTGAATTAAAATTGATAAATATTATTTGAAAGAAAATTTTTGTTAAGAGAAAATTTTATTTTTATTTGTAATATATCGAGTTAAAACTCAAATAGCATTCTTATTTATATATTTTTCAAAAATATAAGTTTGAATAATAATTATTTAAGAAATAAAATAACTAATTAAGAAAATAAAATAAAAAAAAAGATAAAAAGATAAAATAACTAAAAGGTAAAATAAGGTAAAATAAAATAAAATAAGATAAGATAAAATAAGATATGATAAGATAAAATAAAGATAAAATTAAGATAAAAATAAGATAAAATAGAATAAAATAAAGTAAAGTAAAATAAAAATAAAATTATAATATCTAATAAAATAATTTTTTAACTATCTTTATATTTTTAGAGATTTTTTGTTTTTGAATTTATAAAATTATTGTTACTACTGTAATAATAACTTATAATAAGTTATATTTTAATATATTATTATATAAGCAAAAAGTATATATTATTACAAGTTAGTTTACTAATTATTAAATTAACTTCTAAATCTGAATCTAAATTAAAAAAGAGTATTAAATTAATAAATAAATATTAAAAGAAAAAAAAAATCTAAGTTCTATATTAATTTTTACAAAAATTATATGTATTTAAAAAAGGAATAATAATATGAAAATGTTATAGAAGAGTAAAGATTAAAAAGAGAGAAAAAAATATAATAACTTAAAGAAAAATAATAAAAAAATTTATATATAATATTTCAAACTAAGAAATATAATTAATAGTAATTGATAACAAAGATTCTTTTATTTTGTTTTTTGAGTAAGAAATATTCAATAACAAAATAATTAAATACAAATAACAAAATTAAAATACTTAATCAAAATTAATAATTATAATATAGCAATTTGTTTAATATAATATAATATAAAGTTAACAATAATTTGTTTATTATAATATTGTTATAATGATTCTGAATAGTGGATTTCACTGAGAATCACTATAAGCATATAATGTTGAAAGAGGGGTAATTAAACTTAAGTAAAGAGAATGAATTATAAATATTAGCAAAGATTTCTAAGGCCTGTACCAATATCTACAAATATTGTGTGTTCAAAGATCTAAACTATAAAAGTAATTTGAAAAATAGGTAAAAATATAAAGAAAAAAATAAAATAAATCAAAAGATTTATAATAATTAATAAATAAAGTCACTATTAATCAATGAAAAACTAAACTAAAGTATAAAATACTAATACTAAAAGTATAAATCAAAAATAATAATTTAAATAAAATTAATATCAAAAAGATATAAAAATCAAAAATATAAAAATCAAAAAGTATAAATCAAAATATTAAAGTCAAAAATATCAAATTAAAATCAATATAACGTTATAACAAATATTCAAAATCAACTTTATATGGTCAAAGAAATAAAACTGAGTGAGAAAAAGGGTACTAGTATAATTAGAAAAGGAATCAAAAGATTACTATTATTACGATAATAAGCTTTTTAATTATATTTTC